CCGAATTGTAATGCTAGATGATACAGTTCTTTCACTTAAAGTTCTTGTCCAGTTTTGATAAAATATGAATCACAAATAACCCGAAAATGTTTTGACTGCACTCGAAGCTCAGTCAAAAGTCTCTTAAGTGTTTTAGCCCGGTTCCCGAAGTGACGTCACTAGTAGCCCGACCCAGATCCCACTTTGCGCGGTCGTGAACATAGAAATTACATGTTTAAACGCTTGTAGAAACGCAGGGATTTTAGCAATCGAGATAATTTTTTCGCTGAAGTAATCAGGGAAACTAGTAGAGTTTATTAAAGGAAAAAACATTTTTGGGGTTAGTGGCACTTTAATGGTAATCTGAGAGAATTCTGCAGGGTAGGTTTATATTACTTTTAACTGAATCGGTATCAGTTTGGTCATGGTTATGGCTTAATGGTGCATGAAATAGTTCACAATTATCCTACAAAATCGGGCAGAATATCACCTGATACTTAGCTGACGAGGCCATAGGCCGAGTTGGCTGAAATCAGGCAATATTCTGCAAAACTGAGCGGGATAATTGTTTCATTATTCAACACATTAATGACAAAGCAAATGATCATTTTCTTTATACTAGAACTAAAATCTCGATCTGGTATAATGTTGCTGGGGTAAACAGTCGCACCAGCTGTATGACCCATAACATTATGAGAGTTTTTGCTGGTGTCATGTAAACGAATACAGAGACACACGAGGAAACTTTATATATTTCATCTTTGTAAGATATTATATATATGTTATTCCTTTCTTTCTTTCTTTCTTTATTTTAGTTATATAATTATATTACTTTATAAGCCCATTTGAAAATTTACCAATGATATTATTAAAACAAGTTTGCCGTATATAAGCTAATAGATTATTAAGTGTAACATTTGAGGAACCATCCCTAACCCACCCACCAGCAAACCCACACCCACCCCACCCCCACGCCCACCCCCATCCCCACCTCCAGCCCTTTTAGATGAGAAATAGACTGTTGAGTCAGTTCATGGGTTTATTTAAGAAACAAGAAATTACCTAGATTAAATATTTTATAAATCATATTGACTGTGTAGTTTTACTTTCAAATTCTCATAATCAGTTCCAGTTCCCCTTAAGACCCTTCCCTCCCCTCATCTGACCGACAACAAAGAAAAACCACAACCGAACAACCAAGGGTAGAATACAAATTCAAAACAAACCTCTAAAATTAATTTGTGTAAAAAATTATCAAAACTATTAAGAGGTATTCTTGAAGAGAAAGTAGAGGATTCTCTGTGTGTTATCTCACTATTTTTCTGATTGTTTCTCCCACATACTTTAATTTGTCCACAATCCCCTTTTTAGTTGTTTTACCACGACTTAATTTGAACCATCACACTGTAAAAGTTTGAAGACTTTTTTGATTTAATTACTGTAAATGTTATATTAATATAAACTAAGATCAAAATTTATCTTTTGTATAAGTAGCCCCTTAAGTTGTAGTCATTGCACTTGTTTGATGTATCTCAGATGAAATTTACATAGTACATACATACATACATACATACATGCACGCACACATGCATGCATGCATGCATACTTAATTACATAGCTCCCCCTTGGGGGCTCTTCTGCCATACATGAATATTGAAATATTAAGTTACAAACTAAAATAAAACTATTTACAGATAAAAATATAGATCATGAAAACAGCTTACATTTTAATAATAAAATAAGATCTTATGGTCTATAATTAAAAATACTCTTAAAAATTCTCTTTTTGAAACCACTAAGGCTTTCCGTGTCTCTGACCACCTTAGGTACATCTTGTAAAGAATTAAAAATTTTTGCCCCACAGAAGGCGAAAGCTCTTTGCCCAGTAGCAAGCGTGCACTTGGGCAAGGTAAGATCGCTCTTTTGCCTGGTGTTTCTTTGGTGAATTTCTGAATGGTATTGAAATTGCTCACTTAAAGATAGTCAGGAGTCAAGTTGTTTGTGCATTTGTAAACCATAACTAAGTCGTTAAAGAGCAGTTTTTCTTTTACATGAAGCCATTTAAGAGACTTCAGGGTTTCTAAAATATGATTGTACTTTTTTAAGCCAGTTACGATCCTGCAGGCGTAGTTCTGTACTAGCTGAAGTTTTTTAATATTCTCTTTACTGGTGTTACTCCATACTGTTGAACAGTAAGATAATTTGCAAAAGACGAAAGCATTTACAACATACATCGGAGTGCTTTGATCCAAGAGGTGCTTTATCCTATTGACTCTCCCTAGTTTTCAATAAAATAAAAAATCAGAAAGACAACAAGTTACAAGTTACAACAACAACTCCCACTTTTGCTCTCCCTCCCTTTCCCCACCACGGTCAGTGAAAAGCCTTTTTGTCAAGGCCAGCAGACCACATTAGAGTACAAGTTTATTAATTGTATTATTAACCACTTCTTGTCATTTCTTAATTCCATTCTCACAGATCATGAAGAGACAACATCTTCACTCTCTGGCACAAACAAACATTTAGGACCACCAAATTGTGCATGGATTTGAAAGCAAAGATGATGGTCTCTGATGAAGAAAAGAGGTGGTTGGTATTTGGATTGGCCATGAACAAGGTGGCAGTTCCTGTTTTATGTCGTTTTGTCCAACAAGGAATGGTCAAACACTATACAAGCCTTGACATGCACTGTAGAGGCCTAGCCATCCCCAACAGCCTGCAGGCACTTACTTACGGTGACGTTGCCACTGATCCTATGCTCAAGCACTTGAAATTTCAGAACATCAATAACAATCTGCTCCTGCATGCCAGAAACAAGATCCTTTATGATTACAGCATCCACAGTGCAGTAGATCTGGCCAAACTGTACCTGCCTGAATACCTTACCAGGTTTTCAGGCTTTGATGGGTCTCTTGACATCAGTGCCATTCTTCGCTTGCTGGGATTTGACAACCCTGCACCCATATTCTCCTCTCCGAATCTTTTTTTGTCCATTCAGTGTGCAGCAAACGATGTGAGGGAAAATGTCAGGAACAAGTGGGGCCACTGTAATTTTAATGAGTGGTCTGAAGTCTTCTTCAGCTACTGTTTTGCAAAGCTGAAGTCATTGATTAGAAGCCTTGGGCTGACTGATGGTACAGAGAGGACTGCCTTAGATCAGCTAAATGAATGGGAAACTAAAGGTACTACTGGATGGATTGTTTAATCAATACCTATATTTTGACAAGATTTTATTCACAAGTCAAATGCCTAGATTAGCTCATACTCACCTTCCTTGATTACCTCCTTCCTTTGCTCTTTCCCCCCTTATACCCACCTTCCTCCATCTCCCCTTTCCTTCCCTCTCTCTTTCATTCCCTGTTTGTTTTTACCTTCTTCTTTTCCTAGTTTTTTCCTTTGCTGATAGTAGGCCACGTTCAATATTTTAAAATTCAGCTGTAAACAATAGACCTCAGCACGAGGCTCTCTAAAATAAACCCCACAAACACTGTATTTTATTCCCCAGAGCCTTGCAATGAGGTCTATTGTTTTGGCTGAATTTTAAAATATCGAAATTGACCTATTTTCCTCTCATTTTCTGCCATTAATTCTTTCTTCTTCCTCTGCTCCTCTGTCCTTTCCTTCTTTTCTTCATTGCTTCTTCAAATGATCCTTCCTTGTTATTTTGTATTTTCCTCTTAATTTCCTTTCTTCCTGCATCCGTTCATCCCATCCTTCTCTTCAATTCTTCTTTTTTTCTTTCTACCCTCTTCCTTTCCTAGTTCTCCTTTTCTTGTTTTCTTCGTTTCTTTCTTCAGACCCCTTTCGTCCCTCCTTGTTTTTTTTCCTCTGTCCTTTCCTTCCTACTCAACGACTCATAGTTATCTTATGCCTGGAAAGCTGTAACTGTTCTTTCTTTCTACTTTTATTCCAGGATGTCAGTTATGCATGGGGCATGCTGTAGATCAAAATCTGTTCACTCTTCTTCAACAAGA